AGGGGGTGGTGGTGGTGGAATGCTCACTGTGGTAGCACAGCAGGCGGCGGGTCAGCCTGCCCGGCCCGGGGACGGGGCCGACGGGCAGCCCCGCGCCCAGGGAGGACGGCCGCTCCGGCTTGGACTGCTGCTGCTGTTGCTGCTGCTGCTGCCCCAGAGGCCCCTCCCGGTGCCCATCCGACAGGGAACCGTCGCCCGGCGCGCCGCACGGTCCATTGGCGGGCTCGGCCTTGTCCTTCTTTGGCTCTGCAATCAGGAAGGAGAGAAAACAACGCGGTCAGAAATGCAGTCCAGGCGGCGGGAGGGGAGGAGGAGGCGGGCGGGACGGAGCCCCTGGAGGGCGGGCCGCCGGAGCGCACGGCTGCACGCGGCCCGCTGGGCTGCCTACCGCGCCGGCGCTCCCCGCGCCGACCAGCGGCGCGCTAAAAGCCGGAAAGGAGACCAGAAAAAAAAACCAACAAAATTGGGCTCAGTTCAAGTAGGACGCGTGGACTATATAGCCTCAAAATAAAACGAATCAAAGTGCTATTAATAAAATGAATAAATAATCCCGGCGTACTGACTGAGGGGATGTTCCTTGTTTACCACGCACCGCTGACACACACGCGCGCGCCCCCACCCCTCCACACACTCACACACGCACGGGGCGGTATTGGCAAGCGCGATGCATCCATTTCGCTGACACACACACACACACGCCGTCGCCACTTTTACAGCCCGCGTCCTGTGACGCCACGACGCCCTCACCACCCCCTCATTCCGTCCCCTACGGGCGTCCACGTGCGATGAGTGGACCGTCGCGCCGCCGTGCCTGCGTTTCCGCCGCAGCAGGATCCACAAATAAAAGTGTCTGACATTCCAAAACTCGTATAAAAGCAGAGCGGCATTGGCACGAAAAGGGTGTGGGCCATCGTACCCGCGTCTCAGACCCCCGTCCTGTGTGTTGTGCGACACGGCTGATGGCTGCCAGACACTCTATCTGGTGCGTGCCAATCCGTCAGAATCGGTCGCTTTTGACGCGTGTTGAGTGCGCCCGACCCACTCCTGGCCGTGTTCAACAAACAAACACGCGGGAAGCACTCTGGAGGCAGCAGAGCCTCTGATTGGCACTTCTTTGGCTTATTCTCGGTCTTTACATTGCTCGTTTGTTTTACATTTAACCCGTCAACTCAAATGCGTACAGTGTATAAATTGAGTTGTGTGTATAGAGACAAGCGGCGTGCCCCTACTTTCCCTAATGAAATGTAATGTTCTTCCCTCAATGTTACTCATTTGAGTTGACAGAGAAGAGAACAAAAGCCGCCGACCGGCGCGCAACGAAACAAAACACGCGACGACGGCGCGAGTTGGCGAACGAAATGGGAGAAACGGGGCAAAGGAAGAAGGGGTTGATGGGACATCGGCGGGGAGGCGGAGGAGAGGGAGAGGGGG